AAAAAAATTTGTTATTTTTTCTTATGAAATCGTAGAGAATCTTTTTGTGAAGGTAATAAAATAAAAAGTACGAAATTTGGTGGAAAATTGACGAAATTATGCTCTCGCGAATTTTGATGTGTCAGCGATATTTACGAATCGGCGATTTTGCCGACTTTGACTCCCATTTTAGGCCAATTACATTATTCCAATCAACCAAATTCTTAGCTATTTCACTAGTATTACTTCCATTCTATCGATTGAGCACAAGAAATCGCCAAGTCAACTGTTTCAACTACAAAATAAAGTGATCGGAAATTGTTAATTTGGCCAATTTAACACAAAGTTCAAAATATTCCAATTTCAAAATAGGGTCCAGAATGAACAATGTAGGCATTCCTGGCACTAAACTAACATATCCTCTGTTCATTAGTTTATGTTTTGGCTTTACAAAGAAATTCCATTTTGATTTTTTATTCACATAATGAATTTTTATTCACACCAAAAAATAGAAGATTTACTGTTATGCAATACTGTAATAATTGTATAAATATCATCACCATATTTGTGAATGTATATTAGACCCACCAGCTGACGTGTATTAGACGTATGAGGTCGTTTGTTTACTCTTGAATATCGGCAAAAATTAACATTTCTGCTACTTTGAGCTCTGTTTCAAGCCATTTCCAGTGCTAAAACCAATCAAAATCATCTCTATTTCTGTAATATGTCTTCCATTCTATCAATGAGACCAAGAAATCGCAAATACAACTATAAAAAACATACGAAAAAACACTGCAAAGTTGCTGTTTTAATCGAAAAATCATGATTTCATTTTTTTTCTCTCATTATACACAGTGTGCTGCAGGATCTGTTTTATGTGATGCACACATACCACATAGATGTATTCTCTCATATCTAGGCCCAAATGTACCACTCACAGTTTATCAGAGTGAGCTGAGCTCATGGCGTAGATCTACGGTTTGGACCCTGAACATAAAGCCGTAGATCTACGGGACGGACCCTGAAAGGGTTAATGGCAGCTACAAGTGCAAACTTCAAAGCATCGTTTACTGTGGAACTTGCAGGTTTGATCTTCACATGATGTGACATCATGGAAGAGTAGATCACTTGTAGACTAGAAAATTCCCCTCCCGATGGGGATTGAAGGGATACTTTTTGAGTGTGAGCAGCAACGACTGTGTCCTGCCAGTGGCAAGGTCAGCAGTGCCTACTTATTTAGAAGAGTCTTGTCCACATTTTGATCTATTTCCAGTGTATTTAGCATTTCATACACATTAGTTGTAGCATAGTCATTTTTGCTTATTTACTTAAACACTAACTATTATCCGTGTTCTAATCTTAATTTTATCTTCAACAGTAATCCAGTATGGGTTTGTGACAATATTTGTGGCAGCTTTTCCCCTGGCACCATTATTTGCTTTGTTGAATAATATTGTGGAGATCCGACTGGATGCATATAAATACCTGACTCAGTTGCCGCAGGCCTCGAAAGAGGTTCAAGATATTGGAATTTGGTTTGGTATTCTGAAGGGACAACATATTTTTCTGTGTTACTAATGTAAGTTCAAAATAATTTTTTAATCATGGGTAATTTGTACAGTGCGCTTTGAGTTTTTAACTATGTTCTATCTGTTTCAGAAAAATACCAGATACCTGAATTTTTTCTCTTTGATGATTTTTATATATTATGAGGTCATTATGATAAGATTTTTATCCAAGTTGTATTTTTATTTTGGAAACAGAGAAAAAACTTCTTTGAGGAATAACATTGTAAATCAAGCACCACTTCCTTTCAGGCATTGGTTATTTCTACACAAGGTGACTTTATTCCCTCGATTAGTCCTCATGTATGGGCTACTCACCTGAAGGAACGACCTAAAGGCTACATAGAAATAGTCTTAGCTGTAAGTTCAAGCCTGATTTTTTGTAATGCAACCTTTGACAAACATTTTTCCCACAAAGTGAGCTTATCAGATCACTTGGCTAAAGAAATTGTGATTTGGGTAAAGCCCACTGTGATTTGGGTAAGCCACTGTGAGTGTAAAGCCACTGTGATGTGGGTAAAGCCCACTGTGACTTGCTAAAGCCACTGTGATTTGCTAAAGCCCACTGTGGACTTGTTAAAGCCCACTGTGACCTTATTTAAAGCCCACTGTGACTTGGTAAAGCCACTGTGACTTGGTAAAGCCCACTGTGACTTTAAAAAGCCCTTGGTTTTGGGTTTTAAAGCCCCTGTGACATGGTAAAGCCCCACTGTGACTTTCTAAAGCCCAAACGTGCCCGGTTTAAAGCCACTGTGGACTTGCTAAAGCCACTGTGACTTGCTAAAGCCCACTGTGGACTTGGTAAAGCCACTGGACTTGGTAAAGCCCACTGTGCCCTGGTAAAGCCACTGTGACTTGCTAAGCCCACTGTGACTTGGTAAAGCCACTGTGATTTGGTAAAGGGCCCACTGTAACTTGTAAAGCCACTGTGATTTGGGTTAAAGCCCACTGTGACTTGCTGAAGCCACTGTGCTTGGTAAAGGTCCCTGTGATTTGGTAAGCCCACTGTGACTTGGAAGCCCCTGTGACTTTGGCAAGCTACTGTGATTGGTAAAGCCCCTGACTTGGAAAGCCCACTGGTTCTTGGTAAAGCCCACGGTGATGTGGTTTAAAGCCCACTGTGACTTGTAAAGCCCATGGATTTGCTAAAGCCCATTTGTGCTTGATAAAGCCCACTGTGACTTGGTAAAGGGCCCACTGTGACTGGTAAAGCCACTGTGAACTTGTGAAGCCAACTGTGACTTGGGTAAAGTCCAACTTTTGACTTGGGTTTAAAGCCCCACTGTGACTTGGTTAAAGCCCATGTGATTGGTTAAAGCCCACTGTGACTTGGTAAGCCCATTGTGACTTGGTAAACATAAGAAAGGAGGAACATTGCAGCAGGCCTGTTGGCCCATACTAGGCAGGTCCTTTACAATCCATCCCACTAAGAAAACATTTACCCAACCAAATTTTCAAAACTACCCAAGAAATAAGCTCTGATAACTCTACCCACCCATATGCAAGTCCCACTCAAATTGAAACCCCTCTCACTCATGCATTTATCCAACCTAAATTTGAAACTACCCAAGGTTTTAGCCTCAATAACCCAACTAGGTAGACTGTTCCACTCATCAACTACCCTATTTCCAAACCAATACTTTCCTATATCCTTTCTAAATCAAACTTGTCTAATTTAAATCCATACTGCTGTTCTCTTTTGGGACAGTATCCTCAAGACCTTATTAATGCCCCCTTTATCAGTACCCATCTTCCACTTATAAACTTCGATCAGGTCTCCCCCTCATTCTTCGTCTAACAAGAGAATGTAATTTAAGGGCTTCAATCTTTCTTCATAAGGAAGATTTCTAATGCTATTATTAATTTAGTCATTCTATGCTGAATGTTTTCTAAAAAATTTATGTCCATCTGTAAACTGGAGACCAGAACTGAGCTGCATAATCTAGGTGGGGCCCTTACTAATGATGTATAAGCTGTAATATAACTGTTGAACTTCTGTTGTTACACTTTCTTGATATAAAATACCAGTAATCTGTTTGCCCTTAAATTTTGTATGCTTAGGCATTGCTGTCTTGGTTTAAGGTTGCTGCTTATCATAACCCCCAAGTCCTTTTCGCACTCTGTATGGCTAAGTTCTACATTATTTAACT